GCCATCGGATATTCTCGCGGGTCCTTGAATGAAATTGCATTTACGGCAGTACAATATGTTTCCGGTAACGAGTTAGTGAGTTTAGACCTATCATCATCCAGCTAAATAAAACTGCTGGTTGTGGTGGTCCTCTCCCAGCTCGCCGCTTCCCCGGGGTCCGGGGTGGCGCGGCTTATTTCTTTGGTTCATATGGTTTCTACTGGCATCCAAGGGTTGGGTTTGAATGATGAGTTGCTGAGGCATTATAAGGAGGAGGTGACTGAGATGGCCTTGGGTATTCTGGATGGCAAGCCTTTCGACTCGCCCGTCCATGAGGGCATACTCCTGACTTGTATGTTGGAACTTCTACCATATGATGACTCCGAGTCTGATGAATCAGAGTTTTCTCAGGAAAGGTTTCACAGTTACTTGGGCAAACTTAACGAGATAATCGAGGAGAGACGCAGAACGGAGCCCCCTGAACCCGAGTCACCGAACCAGACGCTGATGCAGATTCAGCAGGCTCTGGGTCAGATGACTGGCCAAGTGAAGGAGTTACAAAGCTCCGTTGTTCCATATTTAAAAAAAAAAAAAAGGGAAAAAAAAATTTATTTTCCCTCATTATGTTGCAGGAGTATGGCTGAGGTGGCTGCGCCATCCAAGCGCGGTCCGTCGGCCTTCATTCTGGCATCTTTAATTGAAACTGAGCTCAACCTCCCCTCGAGGGAGGATCTTACTTGCTTCCTTTAGCTCAGGCTAGTGGGAGATACGAAAGGCCAAGTGGACGGAAATTGCATTTACGGCAGTACAATATGTTTCCGGTAACGAGTTAGTGAGTTTAGACCTATCATCATCCAGCTAAATAAAACTGCTGGTTGTGGTGGTCCTCTCCCAGCTCGCCGCTTCCCCGGGGTCCGGGGTGGCGCGGCTTATATTTTTTGGCCCGCCCACCACCCTCCTTCGGCGCAAATGAAGCACCCGCCCTGCCCTACCCTCCTCCATCCCCGCTGACCTCGGCACCGAGCGGTGGCTGCGCCATCCACAGCAGGCCAAGACTCTCAGAGAGGCGCATGGACCTATGCGCGCCGGCCGCGTCGTCATCGCGTGCGTCGCCGCCGCCGCCGCCGTCGCCGCCGCCGCCGCCGTCGCCGGCGGCGCCGACGAGGCCTGCGGTGGGCGCACGCGCACGGGCCTCATCCTCATGGCGCAGCACTTCCGCGGGTCCACGGCGATGATGGGCGCGCTCATGTCGTCGCCGCAGCTCGCGACGACGTGCGGTGCGCGCAAGTGGCAGTGCGAGGAGGGCCGCATCGAGGGCGCGGACGGCCGGCACATCAACCGCGTGCCGCCCGACGCGCAGCTCGCGGCGATGGCGCCGCACCTCGACCTGCGCCGCCGCGTGCTCCTCCTCGCGAAGCTCGGCGGCTCGTTCCTGATGGAGCGCGACGTCGCGCTCGCGCTGCGCCTCGCGAACGCGTCCGCGCCGCTGCCCGGCGCCTACGGCGCCGCGGGCGTCGACGCCATCGCGCCCGTCGCGCTCATGGTCTACTGGCCGCCGTGCCTCCGGCACAACCTGTCGAGCCACTTCGCGCGCGACGCCAACCGCAGCGCGGCGGCCGCCGACGACGCGGACTTCGGATTCCTCGAGGGCCTCGCGCGCAGCCGGCGGCGCCTCGCCGCCGCGGGCGTGCCGAGCGTCGTCGCGTCGTTCGGCGACGTGCTCTGGCGGCCGCGGGCCGTCGCCGCCGCGCTCGAGGCGCGCGTGCCCTGCCTCGGCGCCGTCGACTTCGCCTTCGAGCCGCGGCTCGGCGTCGACGTCTTCCCGGAGAACGAGTGGAAGGCCGGGCGGAGCGTCGCGGCCTTCGCCGCGGGCCTCGACCCGGCCGCGTGCTGCTCCTACGACGCGGCGCTCGCCGCGTGCGCCCCGGACTACTGGACGTCCCACGCGCCCCGCGGCCGCATCCCCAAGGACCGCGCGTTCGCCGCGCTGCGCCTCCTGCGCAAATTCGCCGCGGACGACGAAGGCGATGCGGCCGCCTAACAGAACCGAGGTCGCCGGCGGGATGGGTTCGAATTCCGGCGCGCGCGAGCGGCGCGGGGTCCCTGTTGAGGGCGGCGGTGTTTCAGGTCGCTGTCTCGAGAGGGGCAAGGTGAGAGGTCGACGCCTCAGTTGCAGCGGTGCTTACTCAGGCTAGTAGCGGGCCGCCCGCGGGATGCGGTAGGTCGCCTAGTACTTCCCCGAGAGGACGCGGCGGGACGCGCCGCCGAGGAGGCAGGGCTCGTGGAGCGCGCGGTCGTAGCGGAGGCACCGCGTCTCCGCGGGCTCGAGGTGCGTCGAGGACCACAGCGGCGGCGGCGGCGCGAGGGGCGTCGGGTCCGGCGCCCGCCAGCGGGGCTTCGCCGCGGGCCGCCTCCGGGCCTCGGCGCGCTCGATGCGCCGGAGCAGCGCCCGGGCGTCGTCGAGCGACGCGGACGCGGCCTTGGCCGCGAAGGGGTCGCGGCGCGGCGCCGGCGCCGGCCGGCGCGCGCCGCGGGGCCGCGGCGGCGACGGCGGGTCGAAGGGCAGCGGCTCGCGGCGCCGCGACCGCGACCGCGGCCGCGCCGCGGGCCGCTTCGCGGGCGCGGACCGGGGCCGCCGGCCCCGCGCGCCGTCGAGCCTCCGGGGCCCGGTCCGCGCGGGCGCGGCGGCGGCGGCGTCGAGGGACCTGGCGAGGTGCATCGCCGCCGCCGCGAGCTCCCAGGCCTCGTCGTCGTCGTCGTCGCCGCCGCCGGGCGCGTCGCCGGCGACCGCGCGCGGGCTCGCGCGGTCCCGGGACGCGGTCTC